CCCCTACACAAATTTCAATTTAAACGCCCACATGCCTTTACCAAAACTTTGGTTATTGGGATGTGGTCTAAACTTTTGGAATTTCAGCCCTAAATTTCAGCCCTTTTGCAAATAAACCCCTCTCACTTTGTGGGTTGCTTTTTTGCAAATAAACCCCTCAAACAACATTGGTTTTCTTGCATAAAGCACCCCTCAAATTTTCGACCAAATGGACATGCGATCCAAGACACAAAATTTCAGTCCCATTTTTGCATGAAAGCTCCTACAAATTTCAGCCCCCTTTTTTTCACAAAAACCCCTACAAATTTCGGCCCTATTGTAACTTTGCATAAAACCCCCCAAATTCTTGTGCATACACAACCCATCATCAAAAAGCCTATCCTCTAACTCATGAGAACATAAAGATATGATCTTTCTTAAAAAAAAGAGGAGAGTTTTGAAGGGGAACTCACCAAATCAAGAGGCTTTTCTTGAGCTTGAAGATGATGAAACCCTAGCTTGGAGGAGAGGGTATTTTCGGCCAAGGAGAGAACACCAAAATCCGAAATTTCTTTATGGAGTTTATGGGTTTTGAGTTCTTGAAAGAAAGGAAACAATGGTGGAAGGATGAAAGGAGGAAGAAAGAGCTTTAGAAGGAGAGGGAATCTTTTTGAATTTTGGAAAGAGGGGGAAACAAAAAAGGAAACAAAAAAAGGGGTGTGTGTGTGTGTGTCTCGGCACTAGAACCGAGACACCCTAGGGTGTCTCGGCCGGTAGTCGGTAAAGGCTCATCAAACCCGTTGATGGCTGAGGGTTTGCCAAAAATCCTATAAATGCAAGTCATTGACGTACCAGCTCCATTAGTTGGTCTCGTGACTTGAGCATCCAACAAACTCAGGATAAAAAAATCCACAAATGCAGATGAATCAGCTTTAACAGTTGGTCCTGCAACCCCGACACTTGGGACCGTTGTGCTCCAATACCTTAAGAGCTTAAACTGTGTATACTCCCAGTCAACGCGTTGCGACCAAAGTCAACGTTTGACGATTCGAAACCCTAGAGTCAACGCCGGTCAACGCGTAACCCTAGGTCAACGCGTTGCGACCAAAGTCAACGTTTGACAATCCAAAACCTTAAGGTCAACGCCAGTCAACGCCGGTCAACGCGTAACCCTAGGTCAACGCCAGTCAACGCGTTGCGACCAAAGTCAACGTTTGACGATCCAAAACCCTAGGGTCAACGCCGATCAACGCGTAACCCTAGGTCAACGCCAGTCAACGCGTTGCGACCAAAGTCAACGTTTGACGATCCAAAACCCTAGGGTCAACGCCGATCAACGCGTAACCCTAGGTCAACGCCAGTCAACGCGTTGCGACCAAAGTCAACGTTTGACGATTTGAAACCCTAGGGTCAACGCCGGTCAACGCGTTGCGAGCAAAAATTCAACGTACGACGATCCAAAACCCTAAGGTCAACGCCGGTCAACGCGTAACCCTAGGTCAACGCCAGTCAACGCGTTGCGACCAAAGTCAACGTTTGACGATCCAAAACCCTAAGGTCAACGCCGGTCAACGCGTAACCCTAGGTCAACACCAGTCAACGCGTTGCAACCAAAGTCAACGTTTGACGATCCAAAACCCTAGGGTCAACGCCGATCAACGCGTAACCCTAGGTCAACACCAGTCAACGCGTTGCAACCAAAGTCAACGTTTGACGATCCAAAACCCTAGGGTCAACACCGATCAACGCGTAACCCTAGGTCAACGCGTCGAGTTCAACCGCGTTCGACCAAAGTCAACGTTTGACGGATACCAAAACCATAGGGTCAACGCCGATCAAACGCGTAACCGCTAAGTCCAACCCCAGTCAACGCGTTGCGACCAAAGTCAATGTTTGACGATTCGTTAACGCCTAGGTCAACAGCCGTCAAACAGCGTACCTAGGTCAACGCCAAGCAACGCGTTGCAAACGAAAGTCAACGTTCGACGATCCGAAACCCTAGGGTGGACGCCGGTCAACGCGTAACCCTAGGTCAACGCCAGTCAACGCGTTGCGACAAAAAGTCAACACACGATGATCTGAAACCCTAAGTCAACACAATGTGACGGAGGTAGTTCAAGGTCAACTCAATGACACGAGCCAAACTCAATTCATCAGCTGCAGACTCGAGACTCCGACGACGGCCAAGCGATAAACGCAGTGCCAGAAGAGCTTCGGTTATTCGTCAAAGCATCGAATAGACCGAAAATCGAAGGAGCCAAGAGTTGAAGCTAACTACAGGTCCTTACGCCGACTGAAGGCTAGACCAATCACATCCAAAGTATTCCAGCCTCTTCTATAAAAGAAACGAGTCCGGAACGCTTTGGAGGGGGTATCTGTAGGCATCGAAAATTGCCTATAGGTCTCCACGCACGGTTCAGTGTTAAAGAGCGATGATGAACGTCACTATCCGATCCACAGGAGTTCAATTGACGTCGATGAATGATTGAAGTGAATCGACGAACGACGTGAGCCGATAGAATTTCGGAATAACGGAGGCACGGGCCAATCGGGAACCCTGCACCTCAACGGAATGTCTCAGGAATTCCAAAACACCCCCAGGGGTGTCTCAGAAATTTCGAGACACCCCAGGGGTGTCTCGGATTTTCTGAGACACCCCAGGGGTGTCTAGGCTTTTCCTAGACACCCCAGGGGTGTCTAGACGCCCCAGGTGCCCCCATTGCCTATAAATAGCAACATTAGGCCTCATTTTTGAGGATCTGGATTTTTGGAGAGTTGGCGAAGCCCTGCTGCAGTTTCCGAGACACCCTAGGGGTGTCTCGGATTTTCTGAGACACCCCAGGGGTGTCTAGGCTTTTCCTAGACACCCCAGGGGTGTCTAGACGCCCCAGGTGCCCCCATTGCCTATAAATAGCAACATTAGGCCTCATTTTTGAGGATCTGGATTTTTGGAGAGTTGGCGAAGCCCTGCTGCAGTGAAGAGTGGTCGAGCGCTTCAACAGAGGAGATGTCTTCATCAGATTCTTTATCACCCGTGTCCGTTCCTTAGCATTACCCTTCGCCGGTAATCCTAAGAAGAGCAAATATCTCGTTTTAGCCGAGATAGGCGCTTCAAGCTTCTAGATCTCCTCGCGGATCGACGAAGCTTTGTCCGATTTTTCCGGAACAGATCGACGTCCCCGTCACAGGCCAAAGACCCACGCAAGCAAGAGACGATAAACGGATCTTGCGTTTATTTTCAAGAAAGTTGTAATTTTTATTTTTGTTATTTGAATTCATTTGTAAACGATTAAAGTTCTAATGAAATCAATGATGAAGGCAACTTTCGACGAAAACAATGTCCAATATGATGATGCATTAGAGCAGGAGTATGCCCAGCCGGAGTGTCTTCCAGATGGAATAAAAGAACAGATAGAAGCCTAGCCTTTTCTTTTCCGTAGTCACTGATGGACACTAGATTACTTATGTAGTACCTTATCCTTTAGTCTTCACTGATGGACACTAGATTACTTATGTAGTACCTTATCCTTTAGTCTTTCGAGGGACTTAGTTATTTTTGTAGTACTTCCTTCTTATTTTGTTGGACTATGTATTTTCTTATTTTAGTTGGACTGTTTTGTAATAAGGGCATGTTTGACTCAAACTTTGTGTCTCGAATGATATTCTATTTGTAATATGTCTCTTTTTTATTCTGAGTTGTTCATTATACTCTCGCTACTGTGATCGGGGATCTGTGCCTTTGCATTTATTTCTTGAAGCTTAGCGTATTAGGTTGATGAGAAATGTTTAGTTTTATTTATTCTCCTTAATCTAATACGTCGCGGGCTTACTCGCGTCCCGATTCATTGGTATTTTAGGAAGCGGAGCGTGACACGCCACGAGCTCGCCTGCCCTTGTCGTCGATTTTGAGTAGACCCCGCCTGCAGATCTTCAACCTTGCCTGAAGGTCATCAGCTCGAGTTCCCCTATTCTCTTCTCCTCATGGATCGACCTGCATCGACCTCGAGCTCGCCTGCAGCCAGCCTCGCTTGAAGGGGCCAGAGGAGCTCGCCCGATCTGTGTCGAAGTCGCCTGAAGCTCGTCGCCTGACAGGTTTGGGTCTACACCCATTTTCCAACATGTACTTAGTTATGATCTGTTTCGAGGGAGTATAAAAATACTTAAGTTCAGAATGCTAGTGTTTTTATGACCCGGGCGAAACTAGACCCTCTGGACCGGAAGCCATATTAGAACCTAGTCACCCGCAGTGGGCTAATTTAGAATCTAATTTAATAATCTAGATATTATTGGATGATTATTATTGGAAAATGTGTCTCTAGCAGAGAGACCATTCTTTCGATTACAACAATGTATTTATGTCTAAAACAATTATAAATAATTTCAAATAGAAAAATTATTTAAGGACCCAAAATATGGGACCAATAGAGGGGACAAGTGAGGTGTTCCCCTCCTATTGGATAATGAGTTGGGACCAATAGAGGGGACAAGTGAGGTGTTCCCCTCCTATTGGATAATGAGTTGGCCATCATTAATGATGATCAACTCATTATCCAATAGGAGGGGGACACCCCTCCTATTGGATAATGAGTTGGCCATCATTAATGATGATCAACTCATTATCCAATAGGAGGGGGACATCTCACTTGTCGTTTTTATTGGTCCCATATTTTGGGTCCCTATAGCAAAGCTCTTACTTCCTTAAATCCATTCGTTTATTTTATTTTTCTTGCATTTAAAAATCTAAAAAGATTCTCTAATCTTTCAAGTCCATGTTTATATATCTTTAATGGATATTTTCCCTGTTACACCAAAGCGCGTTATACTGCAGTTTTAAATGGGGGAAAAAAAGTTTGGGTAGTTGGAAGAAAGTCCGACTGATGTATGCAAATGCAATTGTGCGTTCAATTAAGACTTTATGGCACCTATAGAAATCCATGGATCAGACGACGGCAGAACAGCCACGTGTCAGTTAAGAAGCAGGGACGCGAAGTGACATCGGCAGTTATATTTCAAGCCGCCACCCTCGTTGTTTCAAATGCTGGCCCATTCCAAGCTCTCTCGCCTTTTTAGGGTTTTCTCCTCTTCAAGAAATCTCACTCACCTTCAATCCTGCGTATCGTAGGGTTCGATTCAGTCTCTGTTTATGATTCCGCACTTCGATTCCTAATCCCTTTGCAAAATGAGGGCTCGGCTAGTTGTTTTCCCGATCAAAGGGAGGAACTGGTGCTTCGCGAAATCTCTCGACTCGGTCTCTAGCTCTCAATCCTCTTCATCTCCCCCAAAATTGAAGGATCTCTGGAGAAAGATAAACGCCGATGGAGTGTCGACGAAGCAGAACATGGAGACGGTGGCTGATTTCGTTGCTGACAAGGTTTGGGTTCTGAATTGATGAATCTGTAGAATTTTCACTTATTTTTTTTTGGTGATTTTCATTTTTGGGCTTCAGATGAATCGAGGCTGGGTTGCGCTTGAGAAGGCTCCCCAAGGGTCCATCAAGAGCAAAATCCACAGGTTCTTATTCCCTATTGTTTTTTGCTATTTTTGTTAGTGGAATTTGGGGATGATGGATTGGTGTCTTGTTTGTTTTATTTTGTTAAAAAATGCAGTTTGGGGGTGAAATTGTTGTCGAGAGTGAAGCCCACAGAAATCTTCTTGAAATCGGTTTCGGAGAATGTTACAAAGGTGGAGATTACTTATCCCGCAAGGTGAGGTATCTATTTGTTCCCTGGACTTGAAATCTTTATACAAGCAACAAAAGAGTTTCAGGTAACACTTAGAAGCAAATTGCAGAGTATGATGTAAATCGTGGAGTTTAGCATAGGAAAGAGAACATATTATGAGATACATCCAGAAGGTATGTCAAGAAGGTTGCAATAAATTAGAAGCTCCTGGAAAGAATGAAGCCATTTAAACCTTAGTAAAACATATATGAGAAAACATCTCCTATATGAGGAGCTAGCCGCCAATAGAATATCGGTTTTCGTCAGTAATATTTGAAGAAATGTGCTAAGAGAAGCAGAGGTCCTCTATACATAATAGTTGTAAGGGGTCTAGGAAGGGTAGTTAAGAAGAGGATGTCCTTTCTACATAATTAGTTGTAAGGGACTAGGAGAACTCACCCTTGAAAGCTAGCCTTTAGAGGAAGGAAACCCAAACCCCTTGTACACAATCAATGCTCAAATTTAGTCAAAGTGGAACTACCGGACCCTAAATACCACCACGCTTCAAAGTTACGATGCCCATGCGGTCGAGATTTGCACTAGTCTACTCCCAGCTTGCCATTGCAATTTCAGGGTCACTCCTTGGATTTGCACTAGACTAGCCCCTTACCAACAATGCAATGCTGACATCACCATCCTCAATTGCTTACTTGCAATTGGAAAGATGGGGTTGGGTTTGATACCATTTGAAGGAACCTAAGAGAACTCGCCCATAAAAGATTGCTGTTAGTGAGAGGAAACCCAAATCCCTTATTCAAACAAAAACAGAAGTCAAAGGTTCATATCAATTTACTTGGTCACTGAACATTGAAGAAAAATAGTGCACTTGCACTATTGTACATTTTGCTTACCACTTACATAGTTTTGCCCATTTTATAATGGCATATCTTTTATATTTAGTCATGGCATGGTATTTGACATATTTTCTGGCTGTAGCCTATTTTGGAACTTTAGACCTTGCGTTTTCCTACCTTTGCTTTTACAAGTTAGTTGTCAATTGCTTTATTAATTATTTGGTGGTTGACATTTGGTAGTATTAGTAAGATATATCAATGACCTAGGTTGTGGCTGGGTGGACTTCATTCTCGTTAAAACTAAACTTTGATAGTCCTGTCAGACAAGTTCTATAATTATTTTTTGGGTTTTTATATGGAAAGCACATTTAAAATAGTGGTGTAATACATGAACCACCTTTATTGTTTAATTTATACAAGAACCACCTTAAAAGTACATTTCGTTTCAATCAACCACAAAAACTCATTTTCTGTCAACTTTTTTTTATCAAAATTCCTTTATACCCCATGTTCTCCCCTTTCCCTCTTCTTCTACCTCTAGGTTTAGGGCTTCCCCCTCCCTCCCTCTTGTTTTCCCCTCTCCCTCTTTTTCTACCACTAGATTTAGGGTTCTCTCTCTCCCCTCTCTTGTTCTCCCAGTAAACACATAGGTAGTTAAGAAATTTTGATAAAAAAGTCAATAGAAAATGAGTTTTGATGGTTGATTGAAATAAAATATACTTTTAAGGTGGTTTTTGTATAAATTAAACAATAAAGATGGTTCATGTATTACACCCCTATTTTAAAGGTGGTTTCCATAGAAAACCCTTATTTTTAGAAATTTTGATGAGAGGTTTTTTTAATGCCATTTGACCTCCTCTGTCTTTTTCTTGTTCCTAATTTTGTAAACAGGACTTATTTATTCAACTTTTTAGGCGAGGCAACATTAGCTGGAGTACGAGTATGCCGCAAATAAAATAAAATAAAATAAAACGAAATAAAAAAGGAAAAAGAAAAATATATTTTTTTGTTTCTCATTGAGCCTGAACAAATTCTGTAGTGTTGAACCTTCCAAACAAATTCATGGTCACAGTCAAATAGGAGAGGCAGAGGCAGCACTCATAATGAAGTAGTCAGCAAAGGGATGATACTCAGTGGATTGCATGATAGCTAAAAAGGAGGAACATATTTCATTTTTGCTCTTGAATGCATGTATTGTTTATGACATTGTCTTATTAAATGGGCCATGAACATGCTTTCTCGAAATTTAGTTGTCTAGTTTGGTCTATGTTTTGAGTCTTGACGTTCCAAAATTCTTTTTCATTGATTTGCATAATCCCTTTTAACAAAAGAAATGGAGGAAAACAAACTATATTACATAGAAAAGAATATGGGAAATTGAATATGAAATGCTGTTTTCTCTTTTTAAAGCTCTTCCTAGAGGCCATTTCTGTCGAATAGCATTTGTAACCACTGGTATCTTTTCCTATTTTCTTGTATATTTTTTACCTTGAAAATTTTGCATGCTTTCATCTTATACGCCTTATGTTTCCATATAACCCTCGCAGTTTGAACCCTCGTCTTGTACGGAGAAGATTAAGGCACATGGCTATCAGGTAGCTACTTTCATGCAAGTTAATTATTTCAATTAGTTGGATTTGTGTAGCTCACTTAAAAATTACCTTTATTCTGTATCATAATAATGTTCTGAATGTAGGGGATCTGCAATTCACAAGAAGAACTTTTATGGTTCAGTTACTCTGCTTCCCCTCACATCTGCTTTCAGTGTAAGTATATTGCTAAACGAATATATTTTATTCTAAGCATTATGTTGCTAAGATCTCTGAAGCACGGATACTCCCCCAGAGGCCACGAATCCGTGTCTGACACGAATCAGACACGGATTCGTGCCCGACACGTGCAAGACACGTGTCGGACACGGTCAATCCGTGTCCGACACGGGTCAACAGTCCAAACAAGGGGGATACGGTCAAACAAGGGGAAGGATACGGGGATTCGCCGAATTATGAAGAAAACATCGCAAAAAAACAGAATCAGAACCCGTAACCCAAACCCGCTTCGCTACAAAACCCTAATTTTCACTTACTGAGTTCGCCGCTCGTCCTCATCTCTATCTCTCTCGTCATCGTCCTCTCGAGCTCGACGAACCGCATCCTGTCATCGTCCTCTCGCCGCTGGCTTTATTGTCGTCGATCAATCCCCTCCCGTCATCATCGATCTCTCCTCATCTCGTCGTCGTCGGTCGTCGATCCTCGTCCCGACGCTGGTAAGATCTCTTCTCTCTCTCTCCGTCTTCGTCGATCAGATCAGATCTTCGTCGATCTCGACGAACCGCCCGTTGTCGTCGATCAGATCTCGAGATCAGATCTCCGTCGTCGTCGATCTCGAGATCTGATCTCCGTCTTCGTCGATCTCGAGAGGAGATCTCCGCCTTCGTCGATCTCTATCAGATCTCTTCGTCCCCTCTCATCTCTGTCATCATCGATCTGATCTCTCTTATTTCCGTCCCCTCTCATTTCCGTCTCTCTTCGTCTCTCTTTTATTACTTTTTTATTTTTTTATTTTTTAAAAAGACATAAGATTAACTAATACGTTTGTTTTAATAGTTTATTACACTTTACCCTAACTAAATTCGCATGGACCATGTTCAATTTATTGTTTAAAACTGCTCTGAATGGTTGAATAACTAAACCTAATTAACTGTTTTTGTTTATGCAGCTTGTGCTACTGCTGAAGTGCTGAGCAACTGAGCAACTTTTTTTTTTGTTCACTTGCTCGTTGCTACTTAACTCTCAAGTATAATCTGTAAAAAAAAAACAAAGTCAGTGAGTAACAACTTATTAATTAGCATAATTAGAAAAAAAAGCTTAAATAGTAATTATCATGCTAATTAATAAATTATGAACATCAGAACATGTAAATATTTAATTGTTAATCACTTAATTCTTACTTAAAAAACATATTTCATATTTTAAATAAAAATATATATTTCTTGCATTGTAATTTGTATTTGTTACTTGTTGTTTATACTAAATTGAGATTTTCGTATTACGTTTCATATATGTTATGGTTTAATATTTAATTAGAACTTGTTACTTGTTGTTTATAGCAATGGAAGCAGAAGGTAGTTCTGGTGTACAGTTTGTTCAAGATGATCACACTCCTTTTTGTTTACAAACTTGTTATTTTGTGATAAATTCATAATTTAGATTGTTAGTTGAATTTTATAAATTTTTCTATATATAATAATAATTTTAAAAAATTTTCCTTGCCGTATCCCCGTATCCTATTTTTTTGGATTTTGCCGTATCCCGTATCCGTGTCCGTGTTGTATCCGTGTCCCGTATCCGTATCCGTGCATCATAGGCTAAGATATTTCTCACTGCAGTGACTGTAAGTTTTCTGTTAAGGTTGTACTTTTAGGGTCTTCTGATAAGTACCTTGACTATTTTGTTTATTGGACATCTCTAAAACAATGTGGCACCCCATACATTAAGGATCCTTTGTAATACGTTTGAAGTTTGGACCTTGCAAAGAAGGTCCAAAAAGTACTCATGTCAGATGCACGATTTACTAGTTAACTTATGTCAAATATCTGTCAGACTGTTATCAATTAAGTTAATAGTTAGGTTGTTATATCGAGAAACCCCCTTTTTGGTGTGTATTTCCTGTATACTTTATTAGAAAAATAATCTTCCTAATTACATAGACACTGTATGATGGCATGATGCTATATTACTTTAACAAAGCCTGAAAGATGTAATTTTAGATCTAATATATCTAATGATCTGCTTTAGGTTTTGCCATTGCCAAATATACCATTCTTTTGGATCTTGTTCCGTGCATATTCCAATTGGAGAGCATTTAAGGTATAATTTTAATTGTTTACTTATTTTTAATTTCTCTATGTTATGTATTGTTGGTATCGTTGGTGTGTTTTTTCTTCAGTTGGGGAGCATGAATCAACCATAATATGAAATCTGGTGTTAAGGGAGATACTTTTCTCAAGTGTCTGGATAACTGGCATATATTAGATTACTTAACTTCTTTTGTTCTAGGGATTCTTTCAGTATATTAACATCTTGGTTTTGCTTTTTCATTTATTTCATCTGATGTTATCGTTCTACTGGACATGATTCAGCTTGGTGCTTAAAGATATCTTTCGAAAGAAACCTCTAGTTCATTTGTTTCTTCTCCTTTGATTTTTCTCAATTAGCAGAAGTTCACTTATCATCAGTGAATATTTATGTTGTGCAACAGCACTTAAAAGCACGTTTATTCATAATATGTCCTAGCCAGTTTCAGCTAATAGGTAGACATCTACATATTCAAATGATTTGCTCAAAAGAAAAAGTAGTTTCAGCAGCATAATGTTGTTCATTGTCAATGTAAATCTTATAGTTCATTTAAAAGGCTTTAGTAGTTATATTGTTATATTTATTTGATTATTTTACCTTTGTTTTTTTAACCTTCAACCTCCACCTCATGTACCTCTTTACTGGTGAAATTAAAAAAATATTGTTTTTAAGGCATTTGTCCCATTTGGATTGGATCCCCAAAAATACACATTGTTTTGAAATAAACTAGGAGAGAAACCCAAAAAAACCTCCACCCCACATTAGGATCTGTTACTTTAACCTATAATTAGATAGCAGATGTTTTTTAGTCCTGTTATTTATTTCAAAATAACATCATTTGGGGACCTATTTCTATTTAGCTATGTTTTGGGTACCAATTCCTGAAAAATCCCTGAAAATACATAGATTCAATTTTTCTTTGTTAATGTTAAGCAGAGATGGTAGCTGCTATTCAGCAATTGTTTTGATATGGTTCTTTAGCGTATTATTTTTAAACTTTAACTCTGTATGAAAAATATCTTTCAGTAGACGGAATGTTATCGTGTTCAATCAGAATGTTTACAGAATCACAATTAAGAGATTTCAGTATTACTCCAAAATTCTTCTGGGCCTCTGGCAATCAAGAGAGATTAGACATTAGTTAAATGTTCTGTTTAGCCATCCACTCTACCTCAGATATCTTAGTTATATTGTTTACTTCTCATAATACATCTCCATCTTTTACTTATTTCTTTCCTCTCCAGGGAAGTGAGAGACTTCTGCTGTTAGTTTCAGACTGCTCCAAATCTTGGAGTTCACTCGTGCGAAACGGAAAAGAAAATGATTCTAAGGATGATTTAAAGCTTGATTCCCAGTCTCCATGGGTAAATCCGGCTACAACCTTAGTTATTTCTCTAATATCAAATTCTTCTAAGCTCTAGTATCAATTTCTCTGATGTTGATTTTCTTGCATTAGGAGTAATTTTGTATAGCTGGTTATAATCTAGTCTGCTCCATTAATAGAATATGTGTTTCTTTCTTTCAGTTTTCTTTTAGTTGTTTCACTTCCAGCTTCAAATAATGGTTTTTTTTAATCACCATCCTATTAACCTGATGTATTTCTGAGTCATGTGACATCTTAAGTTATCTATGTGTTGTGAAGGTTCACTATTTGCAATCTTGCATATATTGTGGCTATTGGTTGACCCCCTTTAAAATCTGGACTAGACCTCCGGTTTTTGGCCAGGCCAGTTAGAGGTCTGGGTGGGACCGGATTAGGATGCAGCCCTAACCGGGCTAGCTGGTCCCTATATGGTCCTGGCTTCAGCTCAGACCCTTTTCTCATAGTGATATTTATAGAAAATATATGAGGGTTTATAGGAAAAAAGTAGCATTCAAATGTAAAATGTTTCAAAAGGAGGCTACCCACAACTGGATGGGGTAAAAAGTATTTAGCTAGTTTCTGTATGCTTCTATTACTATAGGATTTAGGTGTGTAATGAAGATTTATCTCACACGCATGTGCACAGTACACACACGCTGACACCCCCACCCCACACACACGTGCACACACATGCTTGTGCGTGTTCGCATCACCACCCAACCAGTCACGCATGCATCCACCCACATACACGCGCTTGTGCTCAGTCTCGTCCGTTGCACACAGCACACATGGAACAGGACTCTTTTCTTGTATCATCTGCCAATTTAAAATACATATATCCCCCTTTGGCTTAGCTATTTAGTGTTGGGGTCGAATTTAATTTGGCGACAAATATGAAAAATATTTTAGGGGAAGAATAATCTCTTATATTTTACATATATTAACCAAAGAAGGATTCGCTACTTACGCTGATTTTTTGTATATCCTAAACGCATTAATATCTGTTACTGTACATGTGTTAATGTGAGAAAGGCCCTATTTGAGATGCAACTTAAAGTAGTCTTATTTTCATGTTCTTGCTTGAATTCCCTTAGATCTCGAGCATCTATATTTTCTATAAAATCATTTTAGTTTGCATCAAATAACTTTAATATTTTGTAAAACCGCTCAAATTGTCAGCTGCATTATCATATTCCCAACTGCAAGTCTATAGCTAGGTAAAGTTGTTTGCTACATTCTCATATTGTCAACGGTTTGGATTCAATGTATTGTATTCTAGGGTGCACAAACATGATATATGAAAATTAAGGCCCTTACATCCTACCCACCTAAAAAGTGATTTCATCGTCGAGATTAATCAAGAACTAGGAAAAGAAATATACATCAGGAAATTAAATGTGGGCACCATGCCAATCTCATCCTGACGTTACCAAGAAACCTCCATCGACGAACTACTGTCCCAAGAGACAAGTAGGAAAGGTATGACTTTGTTCTTAAGCACCTTGTCTCTCCTGTCCAGTTTAGCACCCTCTCTTTGATCCAGTATGATCATGGGCTGCTAGTTGTAGGACATGTTCTCTTTTGGACACATAACCTCCATTTGCCTGTCAGTACGCATCCCTATTTAGTGGAGGCAGATGATTGTAACTTGCAAGTGGTTGAAGGATGGGCAAAGTCTAAATGTCATTAACAGTTGAAGTTGAAGGAAACATTGGGACTATTAACGGCTTAATCTAAGTAGAATGATGAAATTTTCTGGCAAATGATTTGGAAACTCATGAGGTGCTAATAAGTATCAATGTTACAGAAAATGCTAGGTGAACTAGCCGTTTGAGCCAGCGCCTAGTGCCTAGATGCTGAAGCGTACGCCTGAGCGGCGCCTAGGCATTTGACTATTTTTTATAATAATTGATAAAAATATATATTAACTTCATATAAATTTGCAAAAAAAAAGATAGCAATTCTAGATCCATAATAAGCCATGCATACTTAAATGCTAAATAACCAAAATAATTAACAAGGTTATAGAAGTGCTAGGAAGCCTAGGTGTTGGGCCTGTCGCTTAGAACCTAGGATATTTTCTTTTTTATTTTTTAATTACAATAATTAATAGTAAATGTTAATGTTATAGAAAGGTTAGGCGTCGGGCTAGTGTTTATTTTTATTTTTTAATTACAATAATTAATAGTAAATGTTAATGTTATAGAAAGGTTAGGCGTCGGGCTAGTGTTTAGGCGGATTTCTTTCTTCATTTAAGTGGTGGTCAAAGAAGTTTTGTTGAAGGTCGGAGGAGGTAGTGGATGTGTTCATATTTGGAGGTTAAACAAGTTTGAAGGATGTTGGAGGACGTGGAGGCTGCAACACAGAAAATCACGATCAAGGCCTAAAAGATACAGTCCACGTAAGCAGATAATGCTCATCTAAACACTCCTAAAACCTAGGTGGACAGCCTAAGTACCGCCTAGGCGTTAGGCGCTAATTAGGCGGCCAAGGTACCGCTTAGGCCTAGGCGGACTAGACGGAGGTTTTTTTAAAATAGTGATAAGTGCAATAAGGACATCTTTAGGGTATGACACAATGCAGGGTGCGTAGACCCTTTACGTGCACCACTGCAAAGCGTTGCGACCTCCTCAAGGAAGGGAGGCTACCCACCACAAGCAATCTTTTGGATATATAGTTGTACATATTGCATGGGTAGGCATTTGGTTGTGTACTGTATATAATCCAATTCCTTCACAAGCATGCATACAAATAAACCTTGATGGAAAGAAGTGGCAAAAAAAGGACCACAAAAAGATCCAACTGGAAATCATTAGACAAAAAGGGGTGAAGAAGAGAGGGGGGGGGGGGGTCTTACCATTTGCCATCAGATTGTTTGTTATAAATTGACTGAAGCTTTGCAGGAAGTCGTCCCAGAGTCGCATGCTCCAAACATCCTAAAGAGAGACCTGCATGGTGAGAGAGAGAGAGTGAGAGGACAAATGAGAACAGTAAGGTTATCAATCGGGCTATTAGAAGCACACTGCATCTGATACAGAACACTTTGTCATTTCCTTGGCATATGTGGCATGCGCCTCAGTGCGCCTTTGATAAAATTGGGGATGCTATAAACTTTACAGACATCTAAGGGGAAAATACTTTTAATATAATGGTCTCAATCTCTGCCTATATTAAAAAATTTTTAGTATTGCTGTGTAGAATGATAGCTTTAAATTGCTCAACTATTCGTGACCCTGATTTGATGAAATTATTATTTTCTTTATGCTCGTCAACAGGTTTTGCAACCTTCAAAAGACCTTGAGAGACTTATTGCTGGTAAGAATGGGGATGATGGTTTAGCTAGCAACACCATCAGTAGAATCTGTGACATGTATCACTTAGAGAAGAATGACGTATTGAAGTACAGGGACTAATTCTAACGTTTTTGAATTCGTTCATATCTAGTCATATAGAGAAGTAGGTTATAAATAATTTGGAGCATAAAGAGGCGAGGGAGATGATAATTGTAGCCCTCTGAATTAAAATTTTGTTTACGTCAAGACTTTCCCTTGTATTTGCTTTTGATTTAAAGCACAGCATTTTCTCATTGTCTTTTGTGTTTGTCTTGAAAAAGAAACTACTTTTATGAATTCTTGCGTTGCTTGTCCTGCACTTTTCTAGTTTTTTCTTACTTTATTCATGAACTGCCGTAGGAATTTGGCAGTCCACTTCTGAGTATGAAAGTCTGAAAGGTTGATTGTAGAACGATCTCTTTATATAGGATTGATGGTGCATCCGGCTCTCCTAAGTTTGTAAAGCACAAAATTGAAGAAATGCTAGGTGAATAATGGTAAATCAATTTTCGACAGTTTTAAGTAATGAATTAATTTGGCAAATCCCCTCTTCTACCCTAAAAAGAGCATATCATACCTGAAATCGAAAACCTATTACATATGAAATCAAATATTCGCAAATTTTAACACTTTCCACTTTGTTTTTAATGATAATTTTGTTTTATTTATTTTTTTCCTCTACTTAATTGGGTTTGAATTGCAGTCTCAGAATAATTTCAAGTATTGTACTTGTGAGTTATAATTCTGTTCTCTTTGCTTCTCGATGGGTCAGAAAAACTTGTTTGGCTAATTAATGGATATAAAAATTTTAGCCATAGTCCGCATTTTTGTGTTATTAAGTATGCAACTTGTACTCTCATTAGCTTGACAGGTTTTTTATTTTCTTGAACACAAATTTGAGGGACAAATTTTCAAAACCAACCCTTTTAGCATTTTATTTGTAAAAAACGACATATTTTGAAAATAATTACAAAAACCGACCTGTTTTCAGCCCAGCGCTGAAAACAGGTCGGTTTTTGTAAAAAAGTCTCCGAAACATCACGGGAGTTCAACTCCCGTGAAGTTTATCGAGAAATTTAAATTCACGGGAGTTGAACTCCCGTGAAGATTAATTTGTGCTTAAAACTCCACGGGAGTTCAACTCCCGTGGAGTTACAGTCGAAAATTTCCAGCGAACCGAGTCTCTGGCAAATTGTGACTGCAACTTCACGGGAGTTGAAATCCCGTGAAGTTGCAGTGCCAAATTTCCAGAGACTCGATCTCTGGCAAATTTTCGACTGTAACTCCACGGGAGTTGAACTCCCGTGGAGTTTTAAGCAAAATTAAGCTTCACGGGAGTTCAACTCCCGTGAAGTTTAATTTCTCGATAAACTTCACGGGAGTTGAACTCCCGTGATGTTTCGGAGACTTTTTTTACAAAAACCGACCTGTTTTCAGCGCTGGGCTGAAAACAGGTCGGTTTTTGTAATTATTTTCAAAATAGGTCGTTTTTTGCAAATAAAATGCTAAAAGGGTTGGTTTTGAAAATTTGTCTTAAACACACACGATTATGTATATGAACAACAATTTATCTTCAAAAGTTCAGTATTTGAAAATTCAGGAAAGTTACAAAATTTATCAAAATAAGTTCATATACAACCCAATATAGCTCCCCTCATTCCTCTCCCTCTCTTCCCCCTCCCCCTCGCTCTTCCCCGCCCCCTAGGTTCCTACTGATGAGCCTCAACTATCTGAGTATTCGGCTGTGTATGAAGCTGCGAAGTGTCGGCTCCATCGGCATACGAAGTGCCGGCTCCATCGGCATGCGAAGTGCCGGCGTCATCGGCATGCGAAGTGCCGGCTCCATCGGCATGCGAAGTGCCGGCGTCATCATCACGCGGCCGTCGACGTCGAGCGTACGCCCGTCCAAATGAGCGAGACCTGTCCTCACGGCCTGCGAACTCGTCGACGTGAGTCTTATGGAACACCTGCGCTATGCTCTTCTTGATCCTGCTGAGGAGACCTAACGCCACCTGATCCTGAATCTCAGTCACGTGCGCATCAATATCAGCATCAATGCTATCTAAAACACGGACCTGCGTGGTAAACAATTTATTAAGTATCAACTCAATAAAAAATATTATAATTTAGCTTAGAAACTTACGTAATCTCTCTCGTTCATCCCACTAGGGATGTAACTATCTGTCGGTGGGCGTGGCATGTGTCCAGCTAAAGGCTGTGGGTCACGCGTGATCCATCTACGTGTGATACCCCAATACCAACGCATATACGTGGTATAGTCAACAGCTGTGGGCCTCGTATCCTGTATGCAATCCCACCTCTGAACCCACCTGCCTATGTAGTCCGCACGGACTACGGCCCAGTCAGTCCGGTGCGATGTAGGGCGCCGCCGACGATTGATCTGCTCGACAGGATCTGGAATATGCTGAGAGAGTGTAAACTGCCGTAGCACACGGTCCGGTACATGCATCTCTACGATCTCCCAACAGATCAATGGAACTCTGGCTCTCCACAAGTCGGGACTATCTCGGCAGATAGGTGCAAGAGAATGTATATCGAGCTCCGGCGGTGTATAGGGTCTCCACTTGAACTGAAATAAAATAAAACATTTATCAGTATCATACAGAAAAACTATAATATTCATACTTCTTGAGTTTTATATTTACCTGTTCATGCTGGAGGCCATCAAGCTCATTTCGGTAAAACTGACGGTGACGCGTCGCTGATTTGTACTGAGCGTATCGCACGTTATACCTATATGCAGAATAGCGAATATATAAGTACAAATATTCAGGTTACGAATGAAATATGTGTGTGTACAATTATACCTGTATGCCAACGGATACTGCCCCTCTAAGTCACGGTGCATAAGTAAAGTGGGTCGTCCAATATGAATGCGCTCCCATGACCAAATCTGTATCAACGTACAGCATCCCTTGAATTCTTTATTCTGCATCAGAGATACTCTACTCAATTCTCGATACAAATATGCCAACACCGCACTGCCCCACGATAGTGCCCCGCATACACCAAAATCCTCCAGCAGTGGCAGCCATCGTGCATGTACGAGAGTCTTGCTCGCATCAGGAAATAGTACGCACCCTATCATGTGCAATATGTATGCACGAGCATGAAACTGGAGCGTCTCATCAGAGGCATCCTCTGGTATGTCGCCCTGAAATGTCTGACGAAGCCACGATAGCTTCATCGCACCACTCCTCAAGTCGGGAACCTGTCCAAGTAGCCGGGCACATACCTCCGGCCAACTATGATCGTCGGTGCCCGTAACTACCGGTCCATCAATCCGGAGCCCAAGTATGACGGCCACGTCCTGTAAAGTGATCGTGCACTCCCCTATATGCATGTGAAAGGTGTTGGTCTCTGGCCTCCACCTCTCAATCAAAGCAGTGATAAGCGGCCAATCAAGCCTGATATAACGAATCGTCGAACACGGTCGAAAACCGGCCTGAGCGATCAAAGCTAGTACCCTCTCATCCTCTATGACCCATGCCGAATGACTATGGGAATGCTCGATCATCGTGTACTCTGGTACGGGCTGCACATAAAACGAGAATCAGTTTTAAGTATATTCATTAAAAAATTACATTAATCGAAGAAATATATATCTAATTTATTCGTATTACCTCTCCCGAACCAATATGGTCTGAACAATGACTCGCCTGAAGGTACAAAACGTCGGGATTCTCCGGTCCCGGATCCATAATGAATAGACCTGTGATTAAAATATGAGCATATATACAGAGTGCATGGGTGGCGGGAAATGTCGTTGGAGTGCTCTTGGAATTCCTTTCATCCTATCGGATATGAATGTAATATGCCGCGTCCCCACACTAGGGATATGATATCTAATGCATGCAAAAAACCAAGCCCAATTCTCTGTATTTTCAACATCAACCACTGCGAATGCTAAAGGAAACAACCCGCCATCCGCGTCAACTCCGGTTGCAACAAGCAAAACGCCTTTGTATTTACCATATAAGTGAGTTCCATCAATGCTAAGAAGAGGACGGCAATGACGAAACCCCTCAATACAGGGCCCAAATGCCCAAAATACACCGGTGAACCGCCGTTCTCCGCCATCAACGGGGTCCGAAGATACTTCGTAGACAGTCCCCGGATTTTCTCTTTTGAGTGCTTCAAGATAATGAGGTAAGATCTCATACGATTTATCCCAATCCCCGAATATTTTTATCATCGCCTTCCTCCTAGCATTCCAACACTTGTGATATGATACATCCAAGTTGGTGGCTTTATGCACTAAAAGACGGATATCTTTCGGCCTTAGATCAAGATCCTCCCTCAGATGCGGTAAAATCAATCGATATATAAAAGAAGAGGACGCATTCTTGTTATTCATCTCTAATCGAGGATTGCTACAAGTGTGGAGTCCATTGTATGCCGTGATTTTGAATTGCCCACCTACTCTTGAACCCGAGCGTGAATTAAGCTTCCACGGACACCTCGCATTGCCGTCGTGGTGTCCACTATTATCTTCGACATCGTCATCTTTGCGATAGAAACAAACCACATTATAGCTTGTAGTATTATTTTTGGTTGGCCTGAACTTCACATTTTTTGCATGGGAACGAAACTGGAGAGTTAGGGTTTTTGGGCTGGGGGGGGGGGGGGGTCACGCGCGCTTAAATAGGTGGCAGCAAACTCCACGGGAGTTCAACTCCCGTGGAGTTGCAGTGCCAATTTTCCAGAGATCGATTCTCTGGAAAACTGGCACTGCAACTTCACGGGAGTTGAACTCCCGTGAAGCTGCAGTCACAATTTCCAGAGATCGATTCTCTGGATTTGCTGACTGCAACTCCACGGGAGTTGAACTCCCGTGGAGTTTTAAGCACAAATTAATCTTCACGGGAGTTGAACTCCCGTGAAGTTTAATTTCTCCATAAACTTCACGGGAGTTGAACTCCCGTGATGTTTCGGAGAATTTTTTACAAAAACCGACCTGTTTTCAGCGCTGGGCTGAAAACAGGTCGGTTTTTGCAATTATTATCGAAAACGGTCGTTTTTTGCAATTAAATGTTTAAAACGGTTGGTTTTGAAAATTTGTCCCAAATTTGAGGGTTCCGAATGAAAGTCAGAGGTTCGTATGTCTTTTTCTGTACTATAAACGCACTGCAATCAGTCGGTACGGTGGTTATCTCAATGATATATATGTGATGGACGCCCTTTTGGTTTGAAATGGTTGCTCAACAGTGGTTAGTAGTAAAAGGCAAATGGAATCTATAAAATAAAAATGGTTTTTTAAATATGGAAATCATCTTTAAAATAGGGTAATTTTATGTAAATAATATTTTATTTTCATGGATATGTAAACCATTTTTAAAAGCGTGTTTTTTTCCAATCAACCAATCACACCGACATTTTTATCTTGAAATAATCTTGAAACTCAATAATACTCTTACATATTCTATTTTTGCTCGTGATTCTTATCCTAACCAACCCTAAATCTTATTTTAACCATTGACCCCACATATCTAATCTCTCTCTCTCTCTCTCTCTCTCTCTCTCTCTCTCTCTCTCTCTCTGCCCCATTCCCCGCTGCCCCCAAATTGTCAAACAAACCCTAGATCTATTAAATTCCTTGCAAAGAAGAATCTTTGAAATCTTCGGCTTTTTCAAAGTTCAATGTTAAAGACTTAAAAAAGACACTTCAATAGAGAGATATAATGCTAATTCAACAAGAAAAAGATGGAGGAGGGGATTTTTTGGGGAGGGACTCAAAATCAAAACATCATCTTCGTGGATTCTCCGTTGTTGTTTTCCCCGTTTGTGAAAGAGTTAAGAAAAAAAAAGATTAGGAAGAAAGATTAATTAATTTATTTAAAAATCTAAAGCATTAAATAAGTATTTCAACGCCTTAAATAAGATTATGAATTTGGTATTTTGAGTAATTACGTGCTTCACATGATGGTGTGTTGGAATCTAGATGGTCCCACATTGATTACGGGTGTAGTTTGATGTGGGTTTATAACCTCTTATAGAGATTTGGGTTCATTCGCCGGAGTCCATAGCTTACTGTGTTTGGGGAGAAAGTTGATGTCTTCATTGATGTAGTCATTACAACTTCAGTCGTTACAATGACAACAAAAAAAGATAGTCTTTTTATAAGACCCTTACACAATGAAAAACAAAAAAGTACAACTCTCGTCAAACAACGCAACGGGTGTTTATCGCCCGCTGCTTGCGTGAGATCTTGGCCTATGACGGGGACATTGATATTCGTGGACCACCAAACGATCAGATCAGATACGGAGCTTCGTTGATTCACGAATGAATCAAGAAACCGAAGCAATTATCTCGTCAACAGCGAGATAACCACTCTTCTCGAGATCACCGCAATGCGATCTCAAGGAAAAGAACCGGGCTGCAGATCTATCAAATTCTCCTTCTTTATGCCGAAGAATTCACTGAAGTCTCCTCCTCCTCTCTGAAATTCGTGCTCCTTCAGTCTCCAATTCAGCAGGGCTTCGCCAATGCTCGTGAATTCCAGATCTCCAAAAAATGAAGGCCTCGTGGCTGTATTTATAGGCTTCAGGAGCCCTGTGTTCGGATAAGAATGATCGATTCACTCTTATCTTCAGTTATAACCACTTAACCACGTTCTTGGATAATATTCTATCAGTTGAAACAAATCCAGACGGTTAATGATCGAAAGACAACTTCAAACTGCCAAAATTTAGTTTTTCGGGTCTGCGGACACCCGTGGGTGTCTCGGCCAAGCTTGGGCTGAGACACCTCTTGGTGTCTCAGCCAAGACTTGGCCGAGACACTTATGAGTGTCTCGGCTAAGCCTTGGCCGAGACACCTGTTGATGTCTTGGCCAAGCCTTGGCTGAGACACTCATGGGTGTCTCGGCCAAGCCTTGGTCGAGACACCACTTGGTGTCTCGGCCAAGGTTTGGCCGGTGTCTCAGCCAACTTTGGTTTGAACTTTGATTCACGCGTTCTATCCGTTTCTGTCGTATCTTCATCGTCCGAATTCGGAATTGTGTGGTTCAAGATGCATTGGAAAGCTAATGAGGAGATCTACAAGCTCCCATGATTAAATCATATGTGGAATAAATGGGATACGAGGGGCGCTTCACCTTTCGTAAGCAACGTGAGGCTCCCGATCAGTTCGTGTTTCCATTATTCCGAAGTTCCGTTGCTTCGTATGGTCCGTCGATGTAAAACCCCGAAAATTTGAATATAGTGTGATAAATAATTATAAATATGTTATATGATAAAAATAATATATTTTGATGTTTGAGTATGATAGGAATTGATTTGAGATCAATTCAATGTATATTTGTGAATATATGAGTGTAAATACACAAAACATGCACAAAGGCAAATAGTGATAATCTGAGAATTTTGACCAGTAGAGAATTTCTATGTTTTGCATACTGATTCAGTTAGAATCTGGAAAAGTGTATAAGACCAAAGTTGTAGGTCTCTTCAATATCTTTCCAACAAATCTTAAATCAACTCATTCTGAGATCATATGAGAAAGTTACAACCTTTTTACCGAACCCCAGTCTAAGCATGACCCAGAACTCTGAGCAGTCGACCGCCGTGGTCGCTGCGGTCGACCGCTCAGCGTACAGACGCCAGTTTCAGTCTGTTTCGGGTTGGTTTTGTTTATACCAAACCCGGTTGTTACCCTACATATATATACTCGTTTTGAAGCTCTCAGAACCCTCTATTGAACCCTAATAGTCTCAGCCCCCTTCTCTCTCTCCTCTCAAAACTCTAGCTCGGATTTTGACATTTTTGGGTCGTTTCGAAGGATTTTCGGTAGGGTTTCGCGAGATCCATCGGTGTTCAGTGAAGGGGATTGTTCTCCTACAGATTCAGGACCCTTGTTCCCATCAGAGGCGAGTAACATCTCGCCCAACTTCACCCCTTTTGTTTTCATGCTTAAATTTGAGTTTTTATCCGGTGTTATTGGGCCTAAAATCATATTTTTGTATAAATGCTAGATCATTATGGTATATGATGCATAAATCAAGTATTTCAGATTTTAAAAGCTCACCCACAAATTTGTTTTCCTGAGATTTAGATCTGAAATAATTTAATAAGAGTAAATTCTGTTTTATTGATTTAAAACTTTCAAATCATACATGTTCATGTGTTTGGGACTTTGGTGACGAGATTTTAATTATTTCAGTTCGTTGTTTTCTATTATATGACATATTAGAAATGTTAGATTTATAATAGTGTAGAAATCATCAAGTTTGTATGTGGTTCGAAGCTGACAGAAACCCTAACTGGGCTTCTGTCTGCTTCGCGGTCGACCGCAGAGGACGAGGCGGTCGACCGCTGGGTGTTTTGCTGAGCAGAATTGTTTCTGCTCTTTTCGCGGTCGACCGGAGTGACCTCCGCGGTCGACCGCCGCTCAGTTTCGAGCTCAGTGGTTTTGTGCTCTGTGTGCGGTCGACCGGAGTGACCTCTGCCTTCGACCGCCACACAGTTTTGGGTACTGTTGGTTTTGTTGTATACTTTTCACACGTTCGAGAGTTCGCCTCGACTATCTGACACCAATTTACAATGTTAGTGATTTACCTATACATGTGAGTTGACTTTTGACACAAGTACTGATCCGCAAATCGAACACGTGCGACATGAGACTATGTGTATCTTTTGCATATATATATATATATATGTATATATATATATTCAACATCTACACTTTGTATAGTTTATATTTAGTCCTTGTGTTGGACATTCACTTTACTTAGTCCTCGTGTTGGACATGCATTGCTATTAAATCCTCGTGTTGGATATGCATTATCATCCGGTCCATGCGTTGGAGAACGGTCACATCCGGTCCATACGTTGGACAACGGTCACATCCGGTCCATGCGTTGGACAATGGCTATATTGAGTCCATGAGTTGGACGTTTACTTCATGCAGTCTATGGATTGGACGTTTAATTTATATAGTCTATGTTTTGGACACTTAATCGTTTTCGGACATGACACTCATGTGAGTTTGACATGACACTTGTGGTGACCTTGTCATGGTTTCATTTATCGGTAGAGACGGGTTTGCATTTGTTTTATTTATTGTTTCTCGTATTAGACCTCAGGTTTAGTATTTAGGGATTTACAATTTGAGATACAAGGTATATAAATGAGGGTTTCCTTGTTTGGATTATTTCGCTCGACGTACCTACGCTCATTGTTGTTAGGACAAATAATTTTATATTATTATGTATTAACTGTATTTTCATATACAACAAGCCCTATCCCTTGGGGTTGGTTGTGATGTTGCTCGCTAGCGCTTTGACGCTCGTTGTCCCTCCCCCTTTCAGGTAACGAGCCAGGAGCCGGAGAGTCGCAGGATGAGGGCGACCCTTAC